ACATACTTAATGTTCTAATTTATTTGGATCATTGTTCTTACAAAAACTGCAAACACTGTTAATGAGATAACCAGAGAAATTTCTACACGGGGTATTTGATGATATTAAGGGATCATGGATGATATTAAGGGATTATTTTTAGTGTGATAATGTTGCAGTTTTGAAAAATAAACAGTTCTCTTTTAGAAATGTTACCCAAAAAGCTAAATATAGAATTATCATATGACCTAGCAACTCTATTTCTAGGTATATATACAAAAGAGCTGAAAACAGATACTCAGTGAAATAGACACTGGCTTTATCATGACAGGGATATTCACTCACTGAAAATGCCCATTACCCAGGTCATGCGGGTTAAGGACACCCCTTCAGTGTGGACCCCTCATACAACATGACCATAGCAAAACTGACAAACAGTTCTGGAAGCCTCATTAGATTTGCTATCTTAACTTCCTCTCATGGGTCTTACAGATGCTAATAAAAAACAACAGGTTCATTAACAGGAAAATGGAGAAAGGCAGATGGGAAAGTCAAAGGACAAAGGTGGAAATGTTTAAAGGACTATTAAGGAAGTGAGCAAAGAAAATGCTGATGGGGTGAAACTAAGGGGAAAAAGAAAGTTTGAGATAACACAGAATTGATACTGCAGATCAGTGGGGAAATTATAGTCTTTCAATTAAACATACTGATTAAACATTTTAATACAGCACTACCAAAGGTGGCTGGACCAAAGGGAACTCTGCTGATGAATCAACATTAAAGGGCTTCAAACAAGTTTCCTGCATTTACCCCAGTTCGAAGAAACTTTATAAGCTGAAAGGCAGAGACCACAAAGAGAAAGATGACCAACAATTGTGTGGGGCCAATGTTGAGGCAGGTTAATCAAGATAAAGACTGACACACAGCCAAGAGTACTTTGGCTGAATCCCTTGCTGGGAACCCAAAGCCTTATGTACATCAGTGGTGAAGCGGTCAGGGTGGGGAGTAGAAACCTTTCTGGGGCTTCGTAACACAGCAGCACAATGCACTGTGATTCTAAAACCTGTTGATTAAGTCCTAAAGGAGGCTATACTTAGGAAAGTAAGGGTTGATGGAATTAGGACAAAATTTTATAGGCGAGTTGGCATATCTGAACCTGCTTCGATGTGAAGTGGTTCCATCTTTTCTACTTGATTGTATTATGGGGATGGATGCTGTATCAGCCTGGAGAATGTTCCCTCTACCTACTCCTATAAAACAGAAGGCATGCAAACTTGTCCTTCAAGCAATAATAATTAGACATGCTAAATGGGAACCAGAAAGATTCCCTGAGCCTACACAATAGAGTGCTGGTAGGGACAAACTGATTGCGGAGTGTTTACCAGGGCTTATGGCAAAAGCCTGTGAGTGCCTCCCAGAGACGACTACTGAGACTTTGGACTAGAGAAGTACCACTTGAGGAGCATTTATTACCTTGCTATGAGACATTAATTGAAGCTACCCTTATAAATGAGGACATAAAATCATCTTGAAACCTGAAATACTCATGCTGTCTTGTTGGGGGATGTCAGAGAAACACTTCAATGAGGATGGCAGTGCCCAAGAAAGTTCCATGATAAAATGGAAACGGTTTATACAGGATTTTGCTACCTGGAAAATGCAAGGAGGTCTTTGCATTCCCCAGGTCGCAGAGCCTCTCTTCCCCTAAGACTGACTCTGGAATTGTATGAGGAACTGCTGGATCCTACCCACACTTGGACAGTTTCCCAACAAACAGCTCTCAATAGACCAACAAAGAGCTGCTTAGTTTGCAGATGGTAGTTCCAAGGTGAATGGTTAACATCATATTTGGAAGGAAGGTCGCCACTGGGATCAAAGAAGGTAAAAACAAATCAGCAGCATGTGTTGATTGCATGCTGTTTTTCTAGCAGTGATGGAAGAATTGAACAGTGATAAAAGCCCCTGTGTTAGGCTTTTTACTCACTCACGAGCAGTGGACAGTGGCCACATGATCAGGCAGGAGAGCAATGGAAAACTGGCCTATTAAAGGGATGCCCATATGGGGCATGGCCCTATAGAAATTTGAAGGGAGCATTAAAGTAGGACATGTTGATGCCAACCAGAAGAAATCCCTTAAGATGAGTTGATACGGGGGTACTGCAGCAATGCAGAGATGGGCTGAGTCTAGACATGTTCCTTTTCCACCCTCAAGAACAAAATGCCAATAAGAACTGTTCTGTCTGCCAGGAAAAGAAACATATTGCCGACAGCTATGGGAGGATTCCCTGGTGGCAAGGCCCTGAAGACTGCTGGCCAGTGAGACTAATGCTGGTAACCCTAGGGGACTACAAATGGGTCCTGACAGGTATAGACACTGACTCTGAACTGGGCTTTACTATCCCAACAGACCATGCAAATGCTTTCAGTGCTAAAGAAAACCTGTAACAGAACCACTTACAAATTTCCACCTTCCTGGGGTGAGCCCTTTGACTCTCCCCTCTGCCTTTCCCCATTCTTTTGTTAATTAACCTAATGTTTTTATTAGCATCTGTAAGACCCATGAGGGGAAGCTGAGGTAGAGCATTTCACATGAGTAGGAAGGGTGACAATTTCCCAATCTAAGATAGCAAATTTGAGAGTAATGGTTACTCTCAAGCCCTGTTAAACAGAGTATGAATAGGTAAAAAATTATTTTGGAAAAGACTGTCATTACCTATAAAGTTGAAGATAAGCGTATCTTAATACCTATCAACTACATCACTGGATGTATACACTAAAAAAACTCTTGCATACAAGGACAAGCAACATGAATCCGAATAGCTCACGGCAGGCTTGAATAGCAAAAGCTTGAAAACAACCCCAAAGTCAACCAACAAATACATACAATGTGGTACATTCAGACCATGGAATATTACACACCAGTGAAAATGAAAGAACTACAGTTATAACCCTCCACATGGGTGAGTCTCAAAAAGAACAATGGTGACCGAAAAAAGTTGTAGTGTGTACCAAGAGAATATGAGAATACATGACAATATTCACAGCAGCATCATTCAGAATAGTTCAAAACTGTTAACAGCCCAAATGTCCATTAACACCACCTCGCCTTCCTCCCAGAAGGTTCCAGAAGGTTCTCCTTGGTCTCTCCTCCCAGAAGACTCCTTGGCTTCCAGAGTCCCCATTTTCCTGTCTTTTCCTGGGCACTCTTCACCTCCCTGGACCTCTGAACACTGGCAACAACCGGTGCTTAAGCTGCAGAACCTTTTATTTCTCTTATACCCACGCCCTTGGAGAGCTCCTCAGTCTCACAGCTTTACAGAGCATTTACAGGTTACGATTCCAAGTCCATCTACCTCCAGCCTGGACCTCTCCTCTGAACTGTGCACCTGGGTCTCCACCGTCTTGCTGACACTTCTGTCGTACATCTAACAGGCATTTCAAATTTAGTATTCCCAAAACTGATCTCTTCATTTACCATCCAAAATCTGCTCCACCTATAGTGATTCCCATCTTGGTTAAGTGCAACTCCTTTCAGTTGCTTACGAAAAACCATTTTGAGTCACCTTTAACTCCTCCCTCTTTCACAACCCTACCTCCTCAGTAAGTAAATCCTACTGCCTTTACCTTAAAAATACTATATGCCGGAATGCCAGCACTGTTTACCCTCCACCACAGCAGCCTGGCCTGGGCTCCCTGATCTGACCCATGCTCGTCACTGTCCCCTCCCCTACATTCTGTTCTCAACACCACAGTCAGAATGGAAAATGGAAATCAGTTTATATCATTCCTTTGCTCCAAACTCTTCAAAGACTACCCACCTAACTCACAGCAAAAGCCAGTACTTAGGAAGGTTCTGAATGATCCACCTCCATCTCTTTCCATGGCCCCATCCCTTTCAGCCCTCCTCACTCACCGAGCCTTACCCCTGGCCTCCTTGCAGTTCCCTGAGCAAGCCAAGGTGCACTCCCATCTTAGGGCCTCAAATGACTTACTCCCTCACCTCCCCTGCATGTTCTTAATTAAAAATCCATCCCGGCTGGGTGCAGTGGCTCACACCTATAATCCCAGCACTTTGGGAGGCTGAGGTGGGCGGATCACCTGAGGTCAGGAGTTCAAGACCAGCCTGGCCAACATGGTGAGACCCCCGTCTCTATTAAAAATACAAACAATTAGCCAGGCGTAGTGGCGGGTGCCTGTAATCCCAGCTACTTAGGAGGTTGAGGCAGGAGAATTGCTTGAACCCAGGAGGCGGAGGTTCACACAATTGCACTCCAGCCTGGGTGACAAAGTGAGACTCCATCTTAAAAAAAAAAAAAAAAAAGTCCATCCATTGGAAATCCAGTCCCCAGCCCTCTTTTTTTTTTCATTTCTTTCATTTTGTGCTTTTTATCCATGGTATTTATCATATTCTAGTATATTATATAATTTATTTACTTGTTGAGCTTCTCCCACTAAAAAATAAACTACATGCAGGCAGGGATTCAAGAGTGTTTGGTACATAGTTGGTCCTCATTTAAATAAATGCTAAACAATGAGTACATGAACAAACGAAACTTTTTTTTTTTTTTGAGACCGAGTCTTGCTCTGTCGCCCAGGCTGGAGTGCAGTGCCGGGATCTCAGCTCACCGCAAGCTCCGCCTCCTGGGTTCACGCCATTCTCCTGCCTCAGCCTCCGAGTAGCTGGGACTACCAGTGCCCACCACCACGCTCAGCTAATTTTCTGTATTTTTACTAGAGACGGGGTTTCACCATGTTAGCCAGGATGGTCTCGATCTCCTGACCTCATGATCTGCCCGCCTGGGCCTCCCAAAGTGCTGGGATTACAGGCGTGAGCCACCGCGCCTGGCCGAAACTTTTTAAGTGCCTAGAATTGTGCCTGCCACATAGCAACAGCTCAGTAATAAGCTGTTATTACTATTATTTTCAAAAGGCTGATGTGATTGACATGGAACTCACATAGACTTGGTTTCTTATTTTCTGCTAGTTCAGCAAAGGACCAAGACAGGATATACGGTACCTACTTGCTAATACTTCCTTGTTGGCAGCACTCCCTTCTACTTCAGATGGTTCTGTAGCAACAGTGTCTTGACTGGGCTCCTTAACTCTCTCATCAGTGAGAAGGCTGACTGCCTGAGTAATGTCACCATTACTGGCCTATGGGAGAAAAAGACAATAGAAATTTCAAAAGTAATCATCATAGAATTTAAAACCAGTTTTGAGTATTAACTTTATTACCCTGCTGACACACTGAGTACTTTCAGGCATAATTCTAGGGTAGAATTATAAGACTATACTGGACAGGTCTAATGTGCTTGAAGTGTCTATCAAACGCCTCGTTACAGGAGTTTCCATGCTCTGATTTCCCACAACACCCAAACAAAAGTGAAATCTCGATGGAGATTTGTTCCCATTGCTTCAGATACTACTACTCATGATTTCTGTGAACAGTCTAAAGTATGATGTGTCAAAAAAGGGGGTTGGCAATTGACATAGACATTCTAAATCAAGTCAGCCCTACAACAAAAATGCCAAGCAGGCCAGGCGCAGTGGTTCACGCCTGTAATCCCAGCACATTGGGAGGCCAAGGCAGGCAGATCGCTTGAGTCCAGGAATTGGAGACCAGCCTGAGCAACTTGGCAAAGCCCCGTCCCTACTAAAAATACAAAAACTAGCCAGGCGTGAGTCCCAGCTACTAGGGAGGCTGAGGTGGAAGGATCGCTTGAGCCCAGGAGGCAGAGGCTGCAGTGAGCCGAGATCACACCACTGCACTGCAGGCTGGGCAACCGAGTGAGATCCTGTCTCCTGTCTCAAAAAAAAAAAAAAGGCCAAGCAGTTACCTATTTTCTAGTGGTGATCTTTCTTGTTTTTAACGTTCTATGAGGAAACATTTCTAACATATATGCCAGGAAAGGGAATAAGAGAACCCCCATGTACCTATCACTTATCTTCAACAATTACCTAGTCACTTAGTCATAACCTTTCTTATTTTCTCTAAACCTCCTATACTGTCTTAGATATTCTGAAGCAAATCCTAACCATCTTATCACTGGTCAACATTTCAGAATGTATCTTTTAAAAATATAACCCATGGCCGGGCACGGTGGCTCACACCTGTAATCCCAACATTTTGGGAGGCCAGGTCGGGTGGATCACTTGAGGTCAGGAGTTCAAGACCAGTCTGGCCAATATGGTGAAACTCCGTCTCTACTAAAAAGACAAAAATCAGCCAGGTGTGGTGGCACATGCCTGTAATCCCAGCTACTCGGGAGGCTGACTGAGGTGGCAGAATCACTTGAACACGGGAGGGAGAGGCTGCAGTGAACCAAGATTGTGCTACTGCACTCCAACCTGGGCATCAGAGTGAGACTCCATCTCAAAAAAAAAAAAAAAAAAAGCTATTGTCACGCCTTAAGAGTAACAACAGGTTTTTTCAATATCAGATAACCAGTTCAAACTTCCCTGACTCAAATATCATTTAGTTTGCTGGTTTGGATAGTTTGCTGGTTTGGATAAGGAACCATAAGGCTTATACAGTGCACTGGTTGATGTTTCTTAAATCTCTTTTACGCTGCAGGGTTACCCGAACCACAAATCTCACCCAGCCCCTTATAATTTACATGTTGAAGATACTGGGTCAATCATTTGACCTGTAGAGGTTCTGTCCCCAAATGTGCTTTAATTTGGGTACAGAAATAGCTTGAACTGACATAACTATCATATAGACAGCTGCTTGAAAGCCTCCGGACTGGCAGAGATCTGGAAACCAACCTTCAGAGCTTCATGGAGAAAGGAAGGGTCCTGAATGCCTGTGATTTCTCTCAGTTGATTTAACAGCATTTGGCAGCTCTATATTTGCAAAACAAAAAAAAAAACCACAAATATGTCAGTCAGAAAGTAAACCTGGGTACATTTAAAGAATAACTAAAAGCATCTTGGATAAACAGGCCTGAGGCTTGCCCAGACTAGAATGCAGTGGCATGAGCTCACTGCAACCTCTGCCTCCTGGGTTCAAGCTATTTTCCTACCTCAGCCTCCCGAGCAGCTGGGATTATAGGCGCATGCCACCACGCCCAGCTAATTTTTAGTAGTGACAGGGTTTCACCTTGTTGGTCAGGCTGGTCTTGATCTCCTGACTTCGTGATCCACCCGCCTAGGCCTCCCAAAGTCCGCTGGGATTACAGTCCGTGGGCCAACGCAAACAGCCCTTCATTTTTTAACTCTAAACAACCAACAAGCTCCAAGTAACAATGTATTGGCTGTCAGAAATACTCTGAAATGCCAAATCTATTTCTCTTTTAAAAGTTCAATCATGGAAAATACCTTTGGTACTTATGAAAGAAACAGATGATAGTAAAATTACAAATATATAAAACATTTAAATATAATATTCTAGCCTTAATGGACACTTAAAAGTTCCCCAGGTTTTTCTTTTGGTAGGCAGTACATTAAGTAGGTCATATAAGGAGTCTGGAGAATTTGCATGGATATAAAGATGTGCTATTTCAAGCTTTCCTGCACATGCCATTAGTGTGTATCATTTTTCACTGACAATAAGTTTCCAATCATGTAATTAACCAATGATAACACCAACATATTTCAAACTGTTTGATTACTTAAAAAGAAGTACAGCTAAAGCTAGAATTTTCTCGATTAAATAAAATATATAATTTCAAAGGGTATAAAGTATGAAATGTTTTCTCTTCATTAACCTAAATCATGGAAAAACCTAAACTGTTAACTTCCAGCTAAGACAAAATCAGTTTACAACCCCTTCAGCCTTAACATCTTCACTCTATCATTTTATCCTGCTTTACACAAAGACAAAATACAAAACACCGATTTGCAAGTACAGCTCAATCTAAACAACTGGCTGGCCCAACCTGAGACACAATGATCTTTTAAGACGAATGCTGAAAACAAAGTAGTTCAAAATTAATTCAGCAACAAGAAATCTAATTTATACCATTCCTAAGATTACGCTTAAATTAAGTTAGTAATATGTCTCAGAGAGATAGTCTACATTTACTCCCAGCTATAATAGAAACAGTATCTTATGTTCTTCAACAGCTGTGGGCCCAATGCAACACTAAAGTATTACACAACCAGAAATAACTAACTGAAACATCCCTCTAAAGTCCTGAAGAGGTCTGGCGTGGTGGCTCATGCCTGTAATCCCAGGACTTTGGGAGGCCAGGGTGGGCGGATCACTCGAGGTCAGGAGTTCGAGACCAGCCTGACCAACATGGCCCTGTCTCTACTAAAAATACAAATCAGTTGGGCATGGTGGCACATGCCTGTAATCCCAGCTACTCAGGAAGCTGGGGCAGAAGAATTGCTTGAACCCGGGAGGTGGAGGTTGCGGTGAGCCAAGATCGTGCCATTGCACTCCAGCCTGGGCAACAACAGCACAACTCAGTCTCAATAAATAAATAAATAAAGTCCTCGAAGAAGCATCAACAGTCGTTCTGCTGTAGTTAGACTATAGTCATAGGCTACAAATGGAACCCTACCCTGCTGAGACCAGCAGACTTTCACGCTATGAGTCTTGTCAAATCCAGTCACTGCCTGTGCACTGGGAAAGTGATTATCATACTAAAAGGTATCCAGATTCAGCCTAAGCAAAAACTAAAATCGCAAGCATGTAATTTTTAGAAAAATTAAATACTAGTTTTTTTGAAACATTCTAATTGCATTTGATTTTACTGTATAAAAGTGGTACGAATCTATGTATCTCACAAAAATCGCACATGATTTTCTAAAAGATCAACATCAATGTACCCAAAAAAGGGTGGAATAATTGAGACGGGGAATAAGTAGTACATTAATACCAAACTAGCGTCAAGAAGGTAACAATGGGATAATCGCATCTTCATTGGGAATTATTCTGTATAAAAATTAACATTTATGATTCAGAGAAAATAATCCCGGTAAAAGTAATAGCTGACAGATGCTGCTTACTTTTAGCCAGGTACTGCTATAAACACTTGGCATGTATGAACTAATGTAACTCACTGAACCCTCATAACAGACCTGGGACATAGGTATTATGCCCGTCCTACAAAAAGCTGAGGCACAGAGAGGTTAAGTAACTGTACACAAAGTTACTGCTGATAAGGGATGCACTATGCCATGCTGTATTTGAGAAGACAAAAAGATAGGCAAGAATACCTATCTGGTGCAAAAAAATGCAAACATCTTATTCTTGTATTTTATTTATTTAATTAATTAATTTATTTATTTATTTATTTTTGAGACGGAGTCTCACTGTGTCACCCAGACTGCAGTGCAACGGTACAATCTCGGCTCACTGCAACCTCCGCCTCCTGAGTTCGAGCAATTCTCCTGCCTCAGCTTCCTGAGTAGATGGGACTACAGGCGCCGGCCACCACACCCGGCTAATTTTTTTTATTTTTAATACAAACGGGGTTTCACCATGCTGGCCAGGTTGGTCTCGAACTCCCAAGCTCAGGCGATCCACCTCAGGCAATCAGCCTCCCAAAGTGCTGGGATTACAGGCATGAACACGGCACCTGGCCAGTTTTTACTTTCAATTAATTTATTTATTTCTCACTCTGTTGCCCAGGCTGAAGTCCGGTGGCGCGATCTGTGGCTCACTTCAACCTCCGCCTCCTCCTGCCTCAGCCTCCTAAAGTGCTAGGATTATAGGTGTTAGCCACCACACCCAGCCAATTTTTATATTTTGACCTTGATCTTCGCACCCTAACAAGTTTCTTTATTTTAAAATTTTGCTTGTCCTTATATAATCACAAGTTTCATTACTTAGTAGTGCAATCTGTTCTAAACCAGCTATCATCAGAAGTAGAGATGTAAATATTACATTTGACTAAATCTAAGGTGCCATCGGTTACAAACGAAGAAAGGAAAACTGCTGCCACTGAAACTATGACACAATGTCTTAATGGCAGTCCTGGGAGACATATACCACACTAGCTTCTTAAATCTCTGAACTTTTTCATTTATGTTGAGGAATACAGCAATTTCCCCTGCTTCCAGGTGCACTGCCTGGCACGTGATAGGCAATTCTTTCACATGTTTCTCGGCAACAAAACTTAACACAGCAGAATACATCTATAGTATCTGCCCTTCTGGGTTGCATAAAGCACTTGACTATAGCTCTGCAAGAAAATCTGAAACTGCAAACATTCCTCCAAAGGTAAATATTTTGTTTCATATAAAATCAAATTTATACCCTGCCATTCTGCTTCCATGCCTTGCTTCATATACAGGTTTTTCGGTTTTTTTTGTTTTGTTTTCATTTCAATGTTGAATCACAGTGTAAATTTTTAAGTGACATATGCAATGGCAAGTTAACCATGTATTACTAACAGTACATATAACTTGACTGTCAACTGTTGTTATAACAATAGTAACAGCTATGACCAAGTTCATACAAGTGCAGACAACGGCAATATCACATCTGCTACTTGGATGATAGTAAAAATGTTAAGAACATCTTGATATCAGAGATCTCAGAATGCCAAATAAATGTGAATCAATGAAATACAGTATTCATATACTAATTTACTAATTATTTACATTTGGCCTTGGATTAAAGTCAGTTATACTGTAATATTCTCATTTATCTTTCTCCATTTTGTAATAGGTAGCAGTGGACATTAATATATCTGGGATAACACAATCAGGAAAGGAAAATAAATTCTTGAGTTTCCTTTTTTTTTTGAGACAGGGTGTTGCTCTGTGGCCCACTTTTTTTTTGAGACAGGGTGTCGCCTCTGTGGCCCAGGCTGGAGTACAGTGGCATGGTACGATCTTAGCTCACTGCAGCCTTGGCATCCCGGGCTCAGGTGACTCTTCCACCTCGGCCTCCAGAGTAGTTGGGACTACAGGTGCCCACCACCACGCCCAGCTAGTTTTCCTATTTTTTAGTAGAGATGGGATTTCTCCATGTTGGCCAGGCTGGTCTCGAACTTCTGGCCTCAAGTGATCCACCTGTCTCAGCCTCCCAAAGTACTGGGGTTACAGGTGTGAGCCACTGCACCTGGCCCAGTGACCTTTTTTTTAAAGGCTACTGGGTAGAGATGACAACTATGTAAAATTACTTTGTATAGCTCCAAGAACAATGTTCTACATGGAAATTCAAATCCAAATTCCTCATCTTGCCGTTCAAAGACCATTACCTGATTCCCCGCTTAGCCTGTTCTACCTTTTCTCCTCTCGGTTCCTTACTGCAAACTCATTCTCTCATGCACAGAGTGTTGCTCCTAGAATCACTTGTAACACCACCTACATTATTAAACTATGGTATGCCAACTACATTCAAGGGTTATATTTGTCTTACCTCCTCCATATGAAGTCCTTCTAAGAACTCTGGCCCATACTGTTCTCTCCCCTTTCTCATCTCCCATGTTAAGGAAATGAATAGGCCTGTGACTGAATGTAGCCACTGTCTTCACTTGGCATTTCTCATCATTCTATTCTATTGTATTCTACTCTACTCTACTCTATTCTATGACGGAGTCTTGCTGTCACCGAGGCTGGAGCGCAGTGGTGTGATCTCAGCTCACTGCAAATTCCACCTCTCAGGTTTAAGCGATTCTCCTGCCCCAGTCACCTGAGCAGCTGGGATTACAGGCGCCCACCCACTAACACGACCAGTTTAATTTTTGTATTTTTAGTACAGATGAGGTTTCACTATGTTGCCCAGGCTGGTCTTAAACTCCTTACCTCAAGTAATCCACCCACCTTGGCCTTCCAAAGTGCTGGGATAACAGGCATGAACCACTGGGCCAGACCTGTTCTCTAATTGTTTTAAATATGAAATTCTTGCCTCCTTTAAAGCAAGAATCATGCAATACACTGCC